TTTTCTTATGGTGAACAGACTGTATTCTTCAAGTTCTGGGGTTTGGACAGCACTCCATCGCAGCAGATTGTCAGCCCTCAGTCCAAGAATCCGACCGAACTGACGAGTTTTCAGCTTCAGTGCGATCCTGCATGCCCATGGCTTTCGATCACTTCCAAAGGTCACCTCCTCTGGAATTCAACCGACAGCCATGTTCCCCATGGCAGAGCTGGCTCTCCTGTTGCGTACTGGCTCTCCAACGCGAAAACAAAGAACCATGGTTGAAACTTAGAACCATGGTACTATCAGTCAATGCATTTCATCATCAGGATCAACCTCTAGACCTGACAGAAATGCTCCAAAAACTGGCATAGCGTGGCGGTGAGCGCAGCTTTGGACCAACCCCCAACAGGCTCTTGAGAGCCAGTCCATCCAAGCATGGCCCTGTCAATCTTTTGCACATAGCTGTTTTTTTGGTGTTCCTTGCACTTAAGGCACCACACCCCCAAAAAACATGCAATCCTGAAACCCAACTTGCCAGCTTACAAATGGGGAAAAAACAAAGCACTCAACACTGCAGCCTGATATCTTTACAGTACTCGATGTACATGCTTGAGATTTCCTTCATCCTTTGCTCTATGGAACTGCCTGCAAGCAACTCTTGGACAATGCTGATCGCTGACGCTGCAAAAGACTTAGCCATACCCAAAGAGATCGTATGAAACAAATCGATCTTGTGGAAATCCTCCTTCTTTCCGGGGTCATGAAGAAGAATGCGAGTAAAGAGCGGCTCTTCCTCCCAAGCAGGCTCCCGACCCAGCGTAGCCAGAAACGATGGAACATCAGAAGACCTGAGCCAGTCACAGCTGCAAAGGGACAAGCAGGCCTTAAATGTGGTGTTGTAGGCGTACAAACCCTAAAGTCGCTAATTCAAACATACCAAAGACAACGAATTGATCGCGAAGAAGCAGGTCTTCATAGGGGAAGCCTGGACGTCCAGCGAGGCACAGGTGACATATGCCAGTACAATCTGACTGGCTGCTGGCCCGTTTAGGAACATTTCTGTAGCTTCTGTTCATCCCAGCACTGGTAGCCTTGGGGGGGCACACTTCCGGGAAAGAAGCACGCATATGAATCCACATGCAGTTGCAATTGTTATTTGTGCCATTACTACCATTCAACATGGTTTGAAGGTTGGGGTGACACAGTTTGGTTGTGTTTACAAACCAGGCAGCCAAGTAGGGCCAATCACCAACATTCCCGACCGGTATCACATACACCCGCTCACCACACCTCAACTGGACACCTGCTCGGGTAGCCTCATCCAGCGATTGCAGCACCAGTTGCATGAGCTCAAAATATGGGGTGTAGTCATCTCTGTAGTTTTCCTGATCGAGTCAGATGTGTGACATTGATGCAAGGATGTGCAAACCAGAAGAAAAAAGGTGGTAATACTATCCATGAAACCATTGATACAAATGTGGTGCCAAGAGTCTCTCAAGAGTGACCCCAAAAGAAATCGTGTTTGGAAAGCGTGGCCAACAAAGTTCGTATGTGGATCCACCGCGTCGCCATCCACCACTGGGCCCAATTTGTTGGAGATAGTGCCACAACCAATGATGCTGTGGAAGCTGAAAACTAAGCATCCATCTTTTTTGTATGTGGTACCTTCGTCACCGTGGATGACCACCGGTAGAGCTGCATTCAAACTGAAAGCCCCCTGGTCAGCTAATGTGAAGACTTCATGCCCAGGGTTCAATGCTCGGAACTTTGCCCAAAAATCCAACAAAGTAGGACCACACTTGGTCAAAGTGTCAAACTGGGGCCCCAATCCAAACAGCTTCTCAAGTTTGCGATGTTTGTCCAAAGCTTTGACCCAGGATGTAACTTTGATATATGGGTAATTCCGGTCTGCGCCCACATGCCCTGAACTGATGTCAACATCCAAGCGCAAGTGATGTTGAGCCAGCGTTCGTGCGACCAGTTCTTCCTTGGGCAGCACGACACCGACAGAACTAGAACCCTTACTGGACTAGACCCCAACATAATGACCTGAAGTCAAAAATATGTTTCGGGAAAGGGTCAAGCAAAACCATATTTGATGTGTTTTGCCTACCAGGCAGCAGAATGTTTTTCATTCCCCCGGTACAATGCTCGCAACACTGGGCAGATTCGCGAGGTAGCAGTTTTGCAACCCCCCTCTCTGAGGTCATAGTCAATGGTCGAAGTCGCTCTCTGAATGATGTCTCCAGCACTAGCCTCACACACACCCCAAGTTTTGACCGATGCACGGATGGGCCAACATGAGGGCTGGAACATATGGGAGGATGATCCACAAAGACTTCAAGTTGCCATTGAACTGTGCCACCATTGCAGCAATGGCCTGGCTTGTGCTGCCCAGCAACTCCTTTGGAGTAGCTCCAAGCTAGATCCACAGCTGCATTGGATGGACCTGGCTCGGTTGGACGAGGGTTTGCCTTTCCACAACCTTTGATTTCCCGCATGGCGCGCACACTTTTGGCTCCGTCATCCGCAGCAGCAGTCAATCACACGCCTAAGATTGACTCACCACTTCTCTTCAGTGATGGATGATGTTCTTTCATTGTGATTGCCCCTACGTTGGCTCTCGTGGGCCCCTGTAAGGCTCTGCAATCTTGAACCTCACACGCAAAATACCTGGACCCAATGTAAAGCAGCGATGAAACCATGAGAAAGAAAACTCTCAAAACCTGACTGAAAATTGGGCCCAGAGTAGAAGAAAAGATGCCCTACCTTCAGCAGCCTTCAGGAATACAACGAAGCCCGAGATGAAGAACATTGCAATAAGGAACAAATCATTTTTTGGGGAAGAGTATAGACACGCTCTTTTTACACCATGGGCTGCATCCCCAAACTAAGCCTGAGCCTCCTTTTGGCTCTTTGATTTCCCCTTAGCCTTGGGTTTTGCCTTCGGCTTCGCAGCAGCCTCAACACCATCAGCAGAAGTAGCTGCGTTTTTGTCTGTCTTGCCGCTCTTCTTGAAGTCGGCCAGAAGCAGCCTGGCCAGCAGAATTGAAAGGGACCCTAAAGTACAGTAGATCGTGTTTGCATCAAGAACAAGTGACAACCAACCCTCAACCCAAGTACAACTCTGGGCAAGTTTTGTGGTGACAGCCAGCTTTGTGTTTCAGCCAAGAAACTTCTGCCGTGGTTCAATCGCAATGAGATCAGCACACCTCACTTTCAACCCATCCACTCATTCAGTCAGTTTTTCCCAGGAACGCATTTGTTTTCGACCCTACTGCATTGGCTTTATCAAGTGTGCTGGGATGCTGAGGAAAGATGTGCTTGCAGCTATGGCGCGGCTTCTTGGCTGTGGCCTTCACCTTCGCTATGCGATCTTTCAACCTGGGCTGGGCTGATTGTATGGTAAGCCTTCTCAAGTGTAGAGGTCATGCACATTTAAAAAACAGTTGTATGCTTCACCATCGCACTCAACATATCTTTCTTCTCGTGCGACTCAGCCTTTGGATTGGCCAATAATTTTGTTTGCCCACGATTCTAGGGCATGCAATTGCAATTGTGGTGGAAACAGTATCCGTGTCAAATCACACATGATACGGTTCGGCTCTTGACCGAACACTCCTTGCCCCACTGGGTGGGAATTTAAATGATTGGTAAACAACATAGGTGAAGAACGGTCCTCCTCGGTCAATGATGGTGTCACCACCAGAACGTACATTGCGGCATCCAGGTGTACCTTGGACAGGGCGGCCGTGGATATGGGTAACCCTATGTGAGCTGTGAACCCCTATGCTAGCAAAGAAAACGTTGTTACTCTTGATTTGAGTGACCCTGGAACTTTTCGATGAGGAAAGCTTCCAAAAAGGCTGGGCCAATAGACTCATGGGATGCAAATACTACCACCATAGTTTGCCATCTCTGGTGTGGATCCACGACATAGCCAAATTTTGGGTTTCTGAAACGACAATGGGCATCATGGGTCCAACCAAACTTGAAGACCATGGGCCCGTGTTTGCGCAAGATCTTCTCAAAGGTTTCAATGGCATGCCGCACTACAGTGCCTGTGGAAGAACCCTTCTTTGGAAGTTGGCATTCCAACTGCCAGTCAGCAAGTAAATTGCTAAAGCACTGAGGAGCACGTTCTATATTCCAAAGGGTCTCATCAATGTGCTTTTTCAACTCCTTTCAGGGCCAGAAAGCGAGAAAGGGGTTCGAAATGGTTCAAACATCCCAAACAAGTTGAAAAGGTTGCGGATGTCACGGTAGGACCCTAGGACCCCTCACAACCCCAGACCTGAGGCACTTGAGCTTTGCTTTGCTCTGGCGAAGATACCAACGAGGAAGAAGAGGCCTGAGCTTGATGGAAATTGCACGCGGATGGGGTAAGCTAGACATTTTGCCATGGGTATAGAGACGCACAACTTTTTGCATTGAACTGCGGCCAATGGACCTGCCGGTTGTAGTTGATCAGCTCGAGAAGCCATGTCTCCGAATCATCAGCGTCACTGCTAGGCATCTCTCAAGCTATGCCTATATTGACTATGCGACCCCGTGATGCAAATCCACCAGGAGTTGTTCATTTCAACTGGGACTTTGTTTTTTGTAACGCGCAAGAACCCCTTGTGACTGGAGACCCTCAACTTGGCTAGAATGGAGGCCTGGAAATTTGATTGAGCCAAATGCCATAACATCCTAATGTGACTTGTTGTGGTGCTGTGCGGATAGCATATCCACACTGAAGGCTCCCTAGATCTATAGACATGATCCTGGCAGCCAAGCAACTCATCCGTACTTTCAGCCTCTTCATTCAGGAGGAGCTCCGCTTTCAGCTCTGCAAGAGCTCGGAAGCTTGTCGCCAACTGGTCGGTGATGCGCTTGAAGTCTTTGATCAACCTGAGATTCGTGCTCCAATAACACCAAAGGCTATCCTCCCATGGAAAGAAGGCAAGGGTGTTGCGATATCGATTTGCAAGACTTGGACACCAATCCAACATGGTCCCAAGAATTTCCAATACCAAGGGGCTCCTTTCCAGCAGGTGTCTCCCCAGCATCAGTCTCCACTGCTTGAGAAAGCTTGTGGCACTGCATGATGCGGCCGTGGATGCTGTCCATGAACTTCTGCAAATCTGGTAGTGCCTCCAGATTTGGGCACAAGGTATTGACATTGAATCCCCGAGGGATTTTGTATTTCCAGTTTTGGGGGGATTTGGGATCTCAAGATCAAAGTGCAGAAGCATTTGGTATGGAAGCACATGAGAAATACACACGTCAAAAATTATCAACCTTGTCCCCCATCTTCTCAGGTTCTGGGGAGTGTCCAGTCTCATCAGCCAGGGCTAGCTCGGCAGGTGCATCGATAGGCTCTTGATGCTCCTGATCCTGAGATGGTTGGAGAACCAGTGTAAAAAAAACACATGGATGAGCAGCTTTTTTCATGCATACTTTTTTGCGTGCAAGCATCCCCCCCCGATCAGAGATTTCGGTTTGCTTTCGCATCTCCGATTGTCTGATGGTTTGCTTGGTCTCCGTTTCCACAAAGTATTCCTTGACATTGGGGTCGTACTTCCAAGGACTGGCATTCCAAAAGATCGAACTCACAGTCTGTGGTTGGGGTAGCCTGCATTGGCAAACAGACAGGATAAACATGCAAGATTCACTGAACCAAGGCTTGAGGGAATCGAGAGCAATAGGCGATGATTGAACGAATCTCTGCCCTTAGTTGGCGACTGGTTCACCAATGCTTATATACAAAAATACTTACAAAAAGATATCAATTGCTTTCCTCTTTTGGCATATATATACAGCCATGAAACGCTGACATCCCCGTGGATTCCTTCTCCTTTGTCTCCATCCTCTCACGAACCACCACAACCCTGGCGGCAAACTCCACCTTGCAGCCAAGCAAGGTGAAAGATACGCAGAACATGATGGACGAGAACATCCAGTCTGGAAAGCTTGGACTCCACAATTTCACGCAACTTGGCACCAAGGGGATCTCATCTTTTTGTGGTTATTCTTCTCACTGCCCAGGCGTTCAATCGATTCTGCCAAGGCAATCTCCAGCCATTCTCGTGCTTCCCTCCCCTTTTTGTAAAGCTCATGCGTTGCATCATCTACATGACACTTTTTGGATTTAGGTTTGATTTCACACAAACGACGCAATCTCATTCGAAGTGCATCGTGTGTCATCACCTTGGCTGCTGAGTTGCCATGGTACGCATTGCTTTCCAGCAGTAAGTTGGTCAAGGATATCAGTGTATGGGCTGCTTGTTTTCTTATAAAACAGTTTGCAACCCGAGACACTGCATGTGCATCATATGTTTCACAACCAAGCCACAGCGTTGCCAGAGGGCATTACCAGAAGATCTCCATTTTCTGTGTCTTGGACTTTGTCCTCTGAATCCTCAGCAGTCTTGTCCTGACATGTGCCTGAAGAAGCTGTGGCAGTAGTCGAAGCACTGGGCGGGGATTCGACACTCTTAGCTTTCACAGGTGGGGTCGTCAGAGAATCCTGGGGAGGTTGTGGCTTGGATTTCACCTGAGCTTCCAGGTCTGAAATCCTTTGAAGCAAAGCGGCCACAGCGGCTGAGTCCAGGCTCACACCAGGTTGTGACAACGCAAGGCCAGGAGGAGGTGGAGAGATGTGGCCAGCAGATCCACTAGTGGACTCCCCCTTTCCCTCCCCATCAAAGTTCAAAGCCTTAGGCCCAATGTTTGTGTCACTGGGTGGCGCTGGTGCTGTCGAGTTCATCTTCGGAAGTTTCTTCTCTGGGGACACTTTCTCAGTCACAGGGCGCTCTGGACGTTTCAAGGGGATAGGGTCAGTGCCATCATCCCTCATGTCCTTGTCCGCCATCGATTCCGCCATCGATGGAACACTCCCAGGATCGGAATTGCTCATAGGAGCCTTGTACAGACTGGGACTAAGACAAACTATGATTTGAATAACGTTCAGTTTCTGTGTAGAGCTTTCACAGTCATGCATCTAAGGCACAGCGATCCCACTTTCGATCGCGGCCTTGGAGCTGTCCACCGGCTGAGCAAACATTGCATCGATCTCCTCCTGGGCCTGGGCGCCGTGTCACGGCTAAATTCCATTAAATTCCAATGTCAAAAAAGAACGGTGTGTTGAGATTTTTGGTTGGGAAACTTGCCAGACCACAGCGGGTACAGTATCTGGAATCTCCTCCTTCGGGACCAGGAATTTGGGTGCTGAAGCCTGCATTGCAAAATATGGCAATCAGTTGACAATGATCAGAAGCCAACATCAAGATGTAAAGCGTGGTCTATACTCATGTGTGTTCCATTTGTTTTGCCAGATGGTCCCACCTGTTGATTATTCATCAGTGCTTTGGCTTCCTTCAGGGGAGAAAACTGGTCCAATATGGTCCAATCATGCCCAATCATATATGGTTGGGCTTGTACATGATGGATAACTGTATTATTGATGAAACAGACAGTCCTTGATCGACTGAAGAAGCTCATCCCTTGACAAAGTGTTCGGGTTTACCCGTAGCTCCATACCGGCCATGTCAGCACATAGGGCAGCCCCTTTCACCAATTCACTGCAGCTCCATTGATTGCTGCGCAGTGAGGTGGCCATCCCAAAAAGAAAAAGCCGCAGCTGCGAGTCTGGACTGCAAACCCTAGCTGGCTACAAAACCCAAATGCTTCGACCGAAAGCCGGATGTTGACCACCGATGGCCAACATTCAAGAATCATATGTTGAGTTTGTTGGCATGGAAAATCCTAACTGACAATCAGTCGTTTCAAAGACATTGGCATTGACACGAGGAGGTGGATCTGGTGGAGTGCACCGCAATTGAAAACACTTTTCAACCTGTCCAAGTGCCACTGTCAGCTCCTGCAACATTGTTGCCGAGTTCTACGGTAGCGATCAAACAGCAGTAGCACAAATGAAGACCTAAAACACGCAGATTCAACGGTATTTCATCAGTTGGAGTTGATATATTGCCAGGACAAACGTCTTAATACATCACCAAACCCCTTTGGATTTCAAGGTCGTGTGCTTCCAGCTGTTTGCACAGTTGCCATTGAATTTTTGAGGCACCAAGAAATCTAATTAGACTTAGAAGAACCCCAGGCTTTGATCTCCCACTCCTATCAAAACGTCCATCGTGAGGCCTAGAGGACCCTCCAAAATCATCCTTTGGGGCGTGGTTTCCAGGACTCAAAAAGGCAACAAAATGTTGCCTTCCCGAACGCCTACCGAACGGCTTTTGAACGGCTTTTGAACGGGTACGCCTTTTAGCGATTACGGGTTTGGGTTCGAACGTCCCTAAAGGTGTAAAAATGTTGCCTTTTGGGATCCCTCCGAACGGCTCCGAACGGGTTCAAACGGTCCGAACGGGTTTGGACAGGTTCTAGTCGGTATGAGCCATAAGTGAAGAGTAAATGAATGTTTGGATTGGTTTGCCCTCCAAACCGGCGCCAAAAACACCGTGGACCTTCGTTGAGTTCATGCTAGAAAGCCCTAAGATCCAAATTGGATCACTACAGGGGACCCTGGGACAAACATAAATGATTGGGAGTGGTCTTCAAACAAGAATGGTGGGGAATCAAACGTGCCGTGGGAAAACCGCCTTCCAGCTATCTGGGAGGTTGAGGGATCTGTTGCCCTTCAAGTAGACTAGCACTGGCTTTAGGCGGGCGTCACTCCAATCTTTCTCAGTATGCCAAGACATGGCATTGAAGATCTCGGGGCCACTCGGCAGTGTCTCAGGAAGAACTGGCCTCCCTTGGCCTCTGGATTTGAGCTTCGGCATCAGCTCCACCGTCTTCCAGCCGAATCGCACAGGGTAGACCCTTGGCAGGAAGGAAGCTGCACACTCGTGGGCAAGTCCATGTTTGGGATCAATAGAAAAGGGATCTGATGAATGTGGCTCACTTTTTGGTTCCCTCCCAATCACACCAGGCCACTGGGAAAGCTTCAACGAGGCATTTCCATGGAAACGACTGCGGCCACGCTTGTCCACATATCGAACAGTTGGCTTGTCCTGAGGGTCCTGGGATGCACGGAACCTCTTGAGCTTCATCTTTCCTAGATTGAACTTGGCCGCCCATTTGTTGTTGGTGAATGCCTTGTGACGCTTTGGGGAAACATGTCCGTAGTGCCCCATCCACCAGCGCACTTTGTAGACCTTAGTAGCTCCGGCTGTAGAATTCAATAATAGGTCGGCACGTCTTCGTTTGAAGAGAGCCTGCACATGAAAACATGGTGGTCTCAGCCCTGTTAAGTTAGACCGGATGAGGATGCGTGGAACTCTATGCGCGCACGCACACAGCACATTGATGCCAGGACACTGGCAACCTGTCAAAAAGCCATTGCATTTTGTCATAGTACTCCATGTATGATCCACCGGGTTGCTCCACGAAAAACGTCCCACCACGCGCAGCGATGAGGAGAGCAATAAGGACGGAACTTAGCTAGTGCACACTCAGTCGGGCCCAAAAACATGAGCTATAGCAAATAAGGAGTGGCCAAACATCGCAGCAGTCACACATATTTGCAAACAAAGACACCGCGCGCACATGCAGTTGGCTTCTGCCACATATGCTAACGCAGTGTTTCCTGATGGGTAGGCAACACTTCGCTTCGAAGTGGCAATGTTCACTGGTGACCATGAAGAACAGACCACAGCAAGTAGGCTGAAGAAATCTTGCTCGGCGCACTGAAGCACCAACCAAATGCAGATCCTTATAGTTGCGTGTGTTTTGCTTGGGGCCCCCCTTACTACGTTTCAATCAACGAAGCCTGTTATGCAGTCATTGGCCTCATGCATGCAGCGTCCAACAAAAAGTGATTTACACAATTCAGTTGGTTGTCGCAAAACCTGGGCATGATAAGAAATCCATAGGATTCTGTTTCAAGTTAGGTTCACCATTTTGATCAGCGTAAGTCAGATCAACTCGTGCGGCAGGATAGGATTGTGTGACACACCGCCACACATTAGCAGCTCCAGCAAACATCTCCAAGTACTGGATCTCCTTCAGGGGAACCATGTTTGACCCCGAAGCCCTGTGCACATGTAGCACAGGTGGGAAGTGGATTGGCTTTGTTTGAGCGATCCATATTCATAAAATGAAAGATGTTCAGAGGCCCTGCGACATTCCAAGGAGCCTGGTCAAAGCCACCGAGGTTTCCAGTGAAGTGCACCAGCACCACCAGCGCAACAAATGCCTGAGCTTGGCACATATACAGACCTTGGGCCTCCACACGTAAGCATCGAACGAAGTGGGTTTGTGGGTCCAAGGCTTTTCCTGCGTTCATGTGAAATCTAGGCATGAAAACAAAGAGAGGTGGGGAGACCAAAGATGATGGTTTTGCTCACTGCCAAGATTGCAATTTTCGACTGGGTCAGGGGCACGCACCATACGATTATTAAAGTATAGTTGCCATGCCAAGAAGGAGAGGTCAACAAGACCCTTACCGTCTGCATCAGTTTTGTGTCTTCGGGGCCATGATGCAAGAAATGCGGGCCCCAAACCGCGTTCTTCTTAATCCCGAAATAAGGATTAAGAAGAACGCGGTTTGGGGCCCGCATTTCTTGCATCATGGCCCCGTCCTAGCCTCTTGACCTCTCTTGGGAAGTTGAAAGAATGCAAACCCCACGAACCCTCCCCACCCCCTTGCTGTGTGGGGGCTCGAGAAAGTACAGGGCAGCTTGCATTTGTGTCCTCTCAACCGCAACCAAAAAATTGAACAACCATTGGAATTTGCTAGGGGGGCAGCTGCCTTCAGCACCAATGATCTATCCCTGGAGAACATTCAACCTGGGAGAAAGTGTTGACCCGGTGACAGTCGCTATGGGTGTGCATGTGGGAAGGATGTCTCACTGTTTGGACACACGTTTACCATCCAGCCACTCCAAGCAAAATCCACCAAGGATCTTTGGGCGCTTGAAGACATTCCAGCCTGGCAACCAGCTGCGCTAGCATGGCTTCTGTCATGCGCCTCGTCATGGCTGAGATTTCAGTCTTCGGGGCCCGAGCAAAAAAGGCTGTCAGGTATCGCTGCACTTTGTGATTTTCCGCAGTTCATTCCATCAATCCCTGAAAGCAAAACTGCAGATCCGCATTCCATCATAGCAATCAAGCATTGAGGAAGATGGCAGGCTTGTTATCAGTTCCCAGAAGAACCCATCACTTTGAAACTGGACGCAGCTTCTTCATGTTTCGAGTGGATAATCTTCAATGGTTGTCCGGTCAGAAGATCTGCACATTTATTGTAAAGGTGTGTTGAAGCTCATGCGCTGTGAAGCATTTCCCACATTCCAAAACCTGCTGCAGCCGATCCACAACCCAGGATTGGTTTGAAACTGGCCAGCAGCACGATCCAAAGTGAAGCCAGGAGAGAATTGCCGAGCACGTTTCGGCATTCAACCTGCGGGGGCTGGATGTTGCCGCTGTAACTTGACTCTTTCGGAATTGACTAAAGTAGTGGCAGCGGTGTTTGGTAGCTGGGATATTGAACCACCAGGTGAGAACCAGAAGTAAGTTGCACCACATCTCAAAAATGCGACCAGTTCTTGACTTGCAACACGAACACGATCCTTTTTTTCACTTCTGGCTTGTGTCCCTGCTTTTGAACCCTAGATGGTTTCAGCGTGAAAGTCAGATGGCAAATCCTTGCCAATCCCAATAAAGATGCAATGCTCGCAGTGTAGATTTACACTGTCCTATAGACCCCAAAGGTTCTGGTGGCCACAGCCTTCCAAGAAACACATGAGTCGAGA